ACGAAAAATGGACATGAAAAACCAGATCACATCCTAAAAACAAACAGCAGTCACTAAGACATACATCAGGAGCCGACTTGATGGAGTTTAATGTCATACCCAGGGAAGGGCACAGATCTGTTTTGAAACCAGCCCCACAATGGTTGGAGCTGAGGTGAGAAAATTTGAGGAAATAGTACCTCTAGATGGCCAGAAATGACACTTTTAGTAAAATTCATCATCATCACATCACCATTAGTCAAAAAGAAGCGCCAAACAAAATTCTCATGATCTTTTATCAGGGATTTTTGACCATAGAGGTCTTATTAATGTGTTTGTGTATACCATAGCAAACAAAGCTTAAAAACATTGTCTTTGAGTATGTACTTTACATAGGCCTACTTCAAAAACGTGATTTCACATCCACCTCAGCCCCACCATGGCTGGGGCTGAGGTGAGAAAATTTGAGGAAATAGTACCTCTCGAGATGGCCGGAAATGACACTTTTATATAGTAAAATTCATCATCATCACATTACCATTATAGTCAAAATGAAACGCCAACAAATTTCTCATGAACTTTTATCAGTGATCTACTTAATATCCAGGACAACCTAGGCTTAATTATAGCTTACTAAGCTTAAACTATATACTACCGTATATTATGATCAACAAATCACAACTATTTTTTTGCATTTCGCACAATTTTCTTCACTTTTTATTGATATTAATATCAATTATTACTATCGTCATCATCATCATTGTTATTATTATTACTATTAGTAGTAGTATTATTAAAGAAACATTTAAAGAAACTTGCAAAAAGATAAAAACGAAATTGACAGTATCGCATTTCTATCTTAAAAGACCTGGCCTGAGATTTATGGATTTAAGATTTTTAAAAATCACGCTTAGGCCTATGTGTTATTAGGCCTATGTATAACGTGTACTGATGCATATCTACATGTTTAGAAGTATTCATTTTCAGTGATCCCAGGAAAGAATTTGTATTGGTTCAAGAATAAGCTTTAAAATTTCAACACTGTGTACAAAGGGGGGGGGGGAGCCGCGGCTCCCACGGCTCCTCCCCTGGATACGTCCCTGGGATGGTAGGATCATTTCTTGAAAACTCAGATGAGAATGTGCTAAAGGTGCAAATTGTCGGAAAAAGAAAAAGAGGAGTGTAGGACTAGGCCTAGACAAATATGTAAGAAAAGGAAAGTTGAAAATATCTGTCTATCTAGGGATCGGAGCTCTCATCTGTCCAATAGAAATATCCTCATTTTGATATTGACCTAAGAAGAATGTGATTCCGCTCTGCAGCTCAAATCATGCCAACAACCACAGTCCCAGGGTTAATTGGATTATTGACTTGCTAAAAAGAAAATATTATTCGCGCTTATTCAAATTAGAAGGGGGCGCTTATTCAAACGGGGCGCTTATTCACATGATTACGTGTTGTTCCACAAACGCATGTGTTACTTATGTTTACGGTGGTTTTGTGAGACAACAATATTGAAGGGGCGAGGCTTATAATAACGGTCTATTACTCTTGGTTTCTTGATTGACTCTTGGTTTCTGATCTTTGATTAGGCCTAGTTAAAATATCAATAGGAATTATACGTACACGCGTTATTAATAGCATCACTCAATGTTTACTTATGATCTTTTTAAAGAGACATGAATGAAGAGACATCTTCATACCAAATTTTTATTTTATAACATTTGTGTTAATTTTCAACTTTCATCGTAGGCCTATGTACTTTTAAACCATTTCTGTTGTTCCTTTTGTTTATGCTTTGTAGGATGTTTCGAGTTTAGGTCAGTATCATGCTCAGTTCCCCTAATGTCCATATGGCACATATTTTCACATGGAAACTACATCTATGAACGTGTAGTGGGCATCCTATAGCTTCTATAGTTTCATCTTTATTGCTATTTTGTTTTGTCAGGCTCTTCTGGCAGTTGCAAAAGTATAGATTACCTCGGTTTGTATTCAAAAAGGCCACAGACTGCCAATTGCGAACTAAATCACTGTCTTAGTAATCCTTCAAAAGAAAAGAATGTAGCTTGATTGTTTTACCTCAATCGGTTCCAATTTCGACCACCCCCACCCTGTTCGGACATCTCTGGATCCGCCCCAGTTGAATAAATATTAAGAACAGACAGAATTAATATCAAAACCGACAAGGTCCGGTTTCATACAAATCTAAGATACCATACAAGAACAACAATTTTTATGAACCGCTCGATAACTAGATAAATATTCAAGGTCTCAAAACAATATATTGACAATAATAACCTTCAGTATAGGCTATTAGTACATGTAAATCGATAAAGAAACGGAAGAGTTGAGATTTTAGTATATCAGCATTGACCCAATGGACATATGTTACATATGCATTTTACATTCAATTCCATAACAATGCGACCTATAACAGTGATCCCTGGAAGTTTGTGGTCTTGCAATTTTCACTTGTCAAGTACCACGGAAAAGAGTACCCAGGGTAACAGGACTTGACAATAATACTAGCTTATATACAATGTTTTCATTGGCAATCGATGTAATCCTGCGCGTGTTACCGGTGTAGCCATGATTTTAGGAAGGAAGTAGAACCTTTAATAGAAGCATTTAAAACACAATCGGACTACGTATCTCGCATTTGCAAGCACAGACGGTTCCTCCCGCAAAACTTTTATGGAAAAGTTTTAAAATGACAGAACTTAAAGACACACATTCCAGCATGGATATTTCGCTTGTCATGGACAGTGAACGAGAACTTCGTAGCCGGATTGTACAGATGAGAAAACTTCTTTACGTCGCATTCGGTCTAGGTATTGCAAGTGCTGTTGTGTTGAGTGTTGCGCTGCCAACCTTGTGTGCGATCGTCGGGTCGCACAAATCGCGTATTGACCATCTTACGAGGAACGAAGTAAGTACTGTACTGGATGTTAGAAAAATTAATAGGTTTTGGCACAAGCACCAAATAAATTAAATAAACCATATCTGACTTAAAACTAGTTTAATTCGACCAAAAATAATAGAAAAATTAAAATTGTTGGCAAGCAACTTACGTGCCATCAGTATAATCATAATAAATCATTTTTTATATAATTAAAAATTCTTTTGTTTGTAACAATTCGAATTTGAAATATTGATGGTATACGGTATTTGTATGTTTGCTTAAATATATATTGTCAGCCAAAAACAGTACATGTCCAGTTACTCATTTGTATAATCACGTAAGTTAACAACTTTAGACATGTTTTTGTTTTCCTATTTTCAGCTGAATGCTAATAAATCATTGAAAAGTAACCAGTTCTTTAATTACAATTTTCCTATTTATTTTGTATACTAAGTATAACCTCCTGTGATAATATGAAAGCAGGTTATAAGACAACCCATTATTTAACATTTATATTTTGTTTGTATTAGGAGCAGGTCATAAAAATGTCGACTTTTGAAGGCTCAAGCTCAACTAAATATTCGAACACACAAGACAAGGGTAAGTTTGCATTTTTTGACAGATATTTCATCATGTTTAAATAATCCGATAGAAACAGAAGATTTTGAACAAATGTATAACGATAGACCCACCCATAGTGTCTGTATTATGAATCTAAAGAAGCTTAACTTTTTATGATATAAAAATTAATACCGTATTTTACCTGGACAGGAATGAGGAGTTTTCGAAATCTTAGCGTAAACATAAACGGTTTAGCAAGGAACGAAAATTACATCATAATTGCGATTATGTAAACTTCCCAATGCTAAGCATGATTAGAATTAGTTTTATACGATTCCGTCTAGACTTTAATTTAAAAAAAAACTTAAGTAGATCTGTTAAGCCTACCAATAAAAAATAAATTCAAGTATATGGCGCCATTTTAACAATAACTGATTGTGGCGCCAACTTAGAAAAAAGTGCAGTATTAGGTGACTGATTATTTCAACTCTGACTAAGATCGTCCTAAATATGGAATAGCAAAAAAATATATAATCATAACATAGGCCTATGTTGACTTCCCTTTTAGTTATAACAGTTCCGGAACCACCAAGTTTTTTCACTTTGTACAGCCGTTGGGGGCGCATCGAATGCCCAGAGACTGCCGAACTAGTATACAAAGGTACGATGTAGTAATATAATAAATTATCAAGGTTTTTGTTTGTTTGTTTGTTTTTTTTTAATAAAATTCACAGTTAACAAATGGACTGCATAAACATTCTCAACATACATTAAAAAAACACAATGAACAATTGAACAACATTGGATACATTCGATAAGAGAGTTACACCTAAAATAATTATGTACCGGGCATATACTTAAAAGACATCAATTTTGACAATTAAGTGCAATTAATATAAATATAATTAAAATGGATAAATGAAATAAATTAACAATTCACCAACAATAATATGCATTTTATAAAAAGTAACATTAAAATATATAAGATTAGCAGACAACATAACAATTAAACAATTAAGATATCATAATCACAGCGCTAGATGTCAACTGATCATCAAGCCCCCCCCCCCCCCCCCCCCCCCCCTCCCCCCCCCCCCCCCCCCCCCCCCTCTCCCCTTTCAATACATCTAGATACGCCACTGAATTACATGGCCAGATGAATGAAAATAATCAATCCATGTGCCACCAAATCGTAACCAGCCTTCACCATTCCCTCACTATGTCATCCGGGGACGCAACTGCCAAAAAACTATTTTTGACAGGGAAGGGACGCTACCAATACACAATCAACAAACTACCGGGTTTGTGGGTTGATTTGCAAGGTACTACATGGCTTAACTATCTTTTACTTAGGAGTTAATTGGTAAAAATCGCACAGAAATCATACGCCGGGGACGGAAACTCGATTTTAAGATTAATTTTCCAAATAAAGTTATACTAAACAACTTCTAATGACGAACTATTGTCTTCAGTTGTCTTTGTCGGTCATTCAAATGTCATTTTATCTATTTTTTCGGTGATATTACCATTCTCAATAATCTATAAAACACCCACATAACAACGTCACGTTAGATCGA